CCACCAGGTGCCCCAGGTGGTATTCTTTAAGGTTGACCAGAAAGAAAGGAAAGTCAGCATCTGAAAGTTCTATAGCCAAATAAGTAAGAGATGTGACACAGCTCTATGTCCAGCTCGGAGCCTGAGATGGAAGGCCCTGTTACGCCAGTCAGCTGCAAATGACACTGTCTCATTGGGCTGCCAGATCAAGCAATACTGTCTGAGGGAAAAAGTGTTCAGTTTTCTGTTGGTATGTAGCACTTAGTTATTGACCTGATGCTGAGTAGTGTTTAATTGAAAAAAACAAAGCGTGGCTTGGCCATTCCCTCAGAATCACACTTGGTATGTATGCTTGATCTCTGCTAAGGGAATACTTTTTAGAAGTATCATGATATACAGTTTATTCTCTTTTTTTGTGTGTGTTGCAGGTGTTGGAGGGGGCATGGGGGGGATTTAAGCAGGGTGGAACAGAAGGAAGCAACGGGTTGGGGGAAGGAACAAAATACTAACTTTAACTGCTTTTCAAAGCTTATTCAGTCACTACAGTGTATTAACCATGAATAATGGCATAAAGTAAAAGGAAGTACAAACTTTGATGCTAGCTCTTCAGTCCACAAACCAAATTATAAGGAGTTATTTGAGAAGAAGAGCTGAACTTCTGGTAAAAGTTTAGCAAAATTCTCAAAATGTTTACAGTAGTATTTAAATCCTAAAATAAAATACTGAAATTGAAAATACTATGAGTATTATTCCTTAGCTCAAATATTGTGCCCATTGTAGAAATAGCATTTGAAATATATGAGAATTTATTGAGGAATTCCAGATTGCCCAGTGTCTTGGTTTTAAGAATTTGACAATATTTTTCACTCATATTATATTAATGCCTCATATTTTACACTTAAGTGTTCATTTGGTTTAATTAGTTTTGTTTTGTACTTCTGGAATTTTCTCTTCACTTGAACTTACTAGTCTTTGTCTAGACGTTTTTATATATAGTTTAATGATAGTCATACAAATAATATTAAATAGTGATGGGGTAGTCTATTGAATAATGAAAGCTCACTAAAATCTGCCTAATTTGTTTTTCTAGAAAGGCCAGAGCTTGACAAAGAGCACAATGTAGTGGATTCTGCTTGTTCTCAGACATGGCTTGTTTATTTAGCAGATGGTATTTGTCCAGTCTACTCAGGTACAAATGGTAATAAAATTATCCAGGATTCATAAATGTGGAAATTTAATTGCAACACCACTCTTTGAAGTGCTCAGGACAAAACTCTGAAGCATCATCCTTGTCTCTTCCTTTCCTCCCATACTGTCAGCAAATCCTCTTGGCTCTAGCATTAAAATACAATCCAGGGGGATGCCTGGGTGGCTCAGTTGGTTAAGCATCTGCCTTTGGCTCAGGTCATGATCAAGTCCTGCATCAGGCTCCTTGCTCAGTGGGGAACCTACTTCTCCCTCTGCCTGTCGCTCCCCCTGCATGTGCTCTCTTTCTCTCTCTCTCTCTCTGACAAACACATAAATACAAATCTTAAAAAAATTCAATCCAGGATCTGACCCATTCTCACCACAGCCACTACTTTTAACCATTCCCCTGTAAGCCACCAACTCCTTGCTGGATTATTGTAGCATCTTCTTAACTATAGGGAGAACTGTGAGCAGAAGGTAAATTTATCAGTGAAAGATGGCTAGAGTATGTCTACATTCCTTTATATTGGGGGCAGGTTGTGTCTAAATTTCTGTCAGAATATGTTGACTCTAAGAACCAGAAACCCATTCAAACTCATTTATACAAAGAAGGAAAGAAAGAGTAGCTAGATTTCATAAGGAATAAGGACGGGGAAAATGGAAGATCAGGAATGGGGACTCTGCTCTCCACTTCTCTATAGAGTCACTTCTCTGTAGGTTGTGTGTCTGCTTCGTTCTACCATGTGCCATCTAAGTATGGGCATACTTAGCTTCAGTCCTGCTCCACATGACTTCCTAGTCAGACTAATTAGCATTGTCTGATTCAACTCCAAATTCCCAGAAGAAGATGATCTCTTGGCTTGGCTTACTTCAGATGTCTGCCTCAATCTGTTTGGACCAGAATACATGTTTATCTGGTCAAAACACCTGGCCCAGCAATTTAGCAGGACTTAGGAAACCCATTCAGAAAAGGGGGTCTGAACTAGGCAAGCTAACTAATTAATATCTCTCCTGCAATTTATGAATAATTTAAATCCAATATTCTGTTAAATGGTGTAGTGAATCAATTATTGTCACATATACATCCTTTGGGATTCAATAAATTGAAATGAAGTGGATATGAATAAATGCTAGCAGGTAAGGTGGATTTGATCTACTTCCAGAAAGTTTTTGTTGGTAACATAATTTCTCATTAAAATATTTATTTTCAGTGTCTATTTTATTCCTCTTGATCAGCATCCAGCAGCACCTATGAGACCAATCACAGAGCTTTCATTAGCCTGGTAGCCTTTAAACAAGGCAATGAGGAGTGGTTGATTCTGGAATATTATGAATCTTTGGTCTTTGTCTTTCCATGCTGAGTAATTTAACGAGGTGCCTTTCCTTTTCTCTGTCGATTTTTTCTTTTTCTTTTCATTGAATCAGTTGAGTATTGTTTCGAGCTGTCTTGACTCAGCTAAATGTAATATAACTATTTATAATTTGTCAGTGGTATATACTATTATATCATCATCTCCTGGTCCATTCTTCCAGCAGGTAAGAAATAATTCCATTTGAGGGAATGTTGCTTGCCCAAAGGCAGAAGCTACTGAATTGTTTGGAGTCAACACATTTATTCATTCATTAAAACAAACAAACAAAAATAAATCTTTGTTGAGAGATTATTAAGGTAAAACTTTCTCTGTGCTAAACTTTAAAATGCATAATATAAATTAAAATTTTAATCATTTTATTCTTCACTTAAAATTTTAATTAATTTTAATTTCTTAAATTTCATATTTTATTTTCTTCTTTTTTCTGTCTTAATTTTTTAAAGATTTTATTTATTTGACAGAGACAGAGACAGCGAGAGCAGGAACACAAGCAGGGGGAATGGGAGAGGGAGAAGCAGGCTTCCCGCTGAGCAGGGAGCCTGATGTGGGACTCGATTCCAGGACCCTGAGATCATGACCTGAGCCGAAGGCAGCCGCTTATCGACTGAGCCACCCAGGCGCCCTCTATCTTAATTTTAAAAAGTCAGTTGACCAATTGAAACTGACTTACAAGAAAAACTTTGAGTTTGAGGATCCATTATTTTATTTTTGCTATCATAAGGTAAATATTTTGGGGCATTGTTGTTTTTTACCTAACAGAATTCTGGATATGTCCTGGTCTCCTTGAGCTTGGAGAGGATGGATTGCAAGTTCACAAAGCTAACCTCCACTAGCAGGTATGCTCCACATTCATCTTAAATGTTATGTGTCCTCTTATGAACTGAAGTTTTGGGAATGCCAGGATGAATTCATAATCTGATGAGAGGGATGAGGCATGAAAATTAAAACAAAAATGATAAAGTAAAAAATGGGGGACTGGCTTAAATTGGTCATCAGTTGAACTCCCTTTCACCTCAAGGACCCTGATAGTAGGATGGAAAAACTGATATTTTTGAGTATCAACACAAGTGCAAACTTTACATTTGTTTCTAGTTTAGCCTCACAAAACCCTAAGAAGAAGGGAGTATGAATTTCATTTTACATATGAGGAATCTGACCCTTAGAAAAGTAAGGAATTTGCTCAACGTTGAACCTTATCACCAAGGCCTGGATTGAAATCCATGTCTGGCAGACAGCAGAGCCTAGGATTTTTCCACTGCACCACAAGTCCTCTCGGCAAGAAGCTGTCCCTTCTCTGAAGAGTTTTATAAATTGATCTCCAACTTAGATGAAAAGGCGGATCAAAAAATTATGTGGGGGAAATGATCTCTTTTGCAATTTTCCTCTATGGGAGGTTTTGGTATTTTTAAAAAGCTCTCCAGGTACTTTCGATGACCTCCCCACGTACCTTCCGATGCCCTTCCTCCTCTTCACCTGGTCAACTCCTATTCATCTGGTTTGAATGGTCTGTATCACCACATCTAGGTCTTCTCTGGCTGGTTAAATTACTCTCTTTTGTCCTTGTGAAAGATTCCATCCCTGAAATCATCATATTGTTGTACGATTTCTTTTTATGTGAGGTTTGCGCCCTTTAGGCTGTGGTGAGCTTGTCGAAAGCAAGTATTGCATTTTTGTGTCTTCGTTACCTAGCACAGCGACTCAAACTCAAAATGTGCTTCAGAGAACTAAATTAGCAAACAAAAACTTCAGAGCCGTTTGTAAATAGCTTAAGAAAACCCCCAAACTTGTTTTACTATCCGTTGTATCAGTGAATTAACTGAGTGTTTCAATAAATATAAGCAACAAAACAATTTTACAGGTTCCAAGTGTCAGACACCGTCCCTAGATGCGGAAGCTCCAGAGCGAACTACATTTCCCTAAATCCCTAAGCACCTCTCGTAGTTGGTTTGCTGAATATTCTTAAAGGCCTGTCACATCAACTAATAGCGTGCCGAGAATTTCCCTGAACCGGGTAGGAGGCGGCCAATCACAAAAAAGAGGGCGGGCGCTTCTGATTTCGGTTCAGGAAACCCTTTGTAACTCTTCCTTGCCTCTTTGCAGGACCGTCAGAGACGAAGTTATTAAGGCTACCGAGAGTGTCCTCCCTTCCCACCCCCACCCCACGAATTAGAATTAGTCTTTATGCACTTACATCCTTCCTTATGTTTTCCCCAGTTTCCACATCCTTTCCAATCAAATGCCTCTTGCTTCCCATCTACCTTTCTTTCTTGAACACACTCTCTGGGAGGGTACCCCTAGGCATGAATCTCTGCCGTTTCAAACTTGAGCCAGACATTTGTCTCTACACCTCCAAGCGAGATTGTGCCAGTGAAGAACGGAAAAGTCTGAGCAAGCACTTCATCCATCCCTCTCCTCCCCTCGCAAGAGTGGAGGAGCTATTGGGGATTTACTTACTGGATAATCAGCATAACAAGGCGGATTGTAGGTTCTGAAAATGAGTGGCAGTGCGGTGTTTACTTCCACCTTTGCTCCCGCCTCCATCCCCACCCACCTTAGCGTGCGGACTGAATCCAGCGGTGGTGTGTCACTGGCCCGGGCAGACACCCAGCCTTGGACGGGCTCCCCTCTGGCAGCCGAATCCATTCCAGCAGCTACCTGCCATGGTCACGCTTTAATCTGACCAACAGTAACAGATTCAGGAAATAATCCCCCTACCGCCAACCCCCGGTTTATCTCCTTTCTTTTTCTAGTACCTAAGTCTGTCATCCTTTTTACCACAGACGTAACCGTTGTCTAGAAGCTCTTTTTCAAAAATCAGATCCAAAACAATCCAAAACAAAGCCCATCAGTAAAGCAATATTGCAGCCAGCAGCCAGGAACGTGTACCTCGGTAAAGGGTGAGAGCCTAAACCCCTGCTTTAATGACCGAATTTAAAATAAAGACTTCCTGCTGCTCGTTAGTGAACATTTTTACTATCTCAGCTGCCGGAGAAGCAGCTGCATACTCTGTCCTGGCGACTGGGGTGGAAGAAATTAGCCATGGTCTGGGATTTTCGCAGAGGGTAATTTAAGCCCCAGCTCCACTCCCGCGGAGGGGGGCACGCGGGGGGGCGGGGAATGCGAGGCGCATGCGCATGCTCAGCAGCTCAGCTCCGCGGAGGCCCAGCTGCCGCCACCGCCGCGGCCGGCGCTGTAACCGCGGCTACCGCTGCTGCTCGGAGCGGGCGTTGGTGTCGTGTGCCGAGGCGCCCTGTCAGGCGAGAGGGAGCGGCGGGGCGGGAGCCTGGGCGGCGGCGGCGGAGGCGGCGGCGGCAGCGCCCGAGGAAGGCAGCGGGGGCTCTGAAGGAGCGAGGGCGGGCTGGTCCAGCGGCAGAGGAGCGAGGCGGAGAGCGCGGGGACCCGCCCCGGGCGCCCTGCGTGCGATGCCTGGCGGGCAGCGGCGCTGAGCGGCGGGGAGGCCGAGCGGCGGCCGCGGACGGAGGGCCAGCGACCCCCGGGAGGAGGAGGAGGAGGCAGCGCAGGAGCGGGAGGAAGCGCCGAGGGACTGCGGGGCCGGGGCGGGCGAGGAGCGGCGGGGCCGCGGGCCATGGACGCGGCGGCGGCGGCGGCGGGGGCGAGCCGGGGCGGCGGCGCGGCGCAGAGTCAGCCCGCGGCCAGGTGAGGCTGGGCAGTGCGGGCTCCGGGCGCCGCCGCCACTGCTGTGCCGCCGGGCCGCGGAGCGAGGCAGCGGCGGCGGTGGCTGAAGCGGCGCCGGCCTCGGAAGAAGAGGGGTCGCCGCCCGGGGTTCTGGTGGCCCGCTGCTCTTTCGTCGTCGCAGTATTTCCTGTTTGGATTATCTTGTGCTTCTCCCCAGCTGCCTCCTTCCCCTCACACTCCCACCCTGCCCCACTCCCCCGTGTCCTCGGTGGAAGCTGCCCTCGGCCCGGGCTCGTTTCCCGCGCCGGGGTACGCCCCTTGCCTCCGCTCACGGGCTGCGGGGGAGCCCCGCCGAGACCATGAGGAAATTCAACATCAGGAAGGTGCTGGACGGCCTGACCGCCGGCTCGTCCTCGGCCTCGCAGCAGCAGCAGCAACAGCAGCACCCGGCTGGGAACCGGGAGCCGGAGATCCAGGAAACGCTCCAGTCCGAGCACTTTCAGCTCTGCAAGGTGAAGGGAGTGCGCAGCTCCGCGAAAATTGGGGTCGTTTTAGGGGGCGGCTCGGGCTTTTCATGGGAGTGCGAGGGAATAAGACGCCACTAATAATTATATCTCGCTCGAATGAAGGGCTCGCTCCTCCTCAAGCAAACATTTGCTTAGTGGGTTATTTTGGAGATTGACATCATCTTACTCCTTTTGGTTTTTTTTTTCCCCCCTTTTCACATGCAGCAGTCATTTCAAGGTTGCTTCTAACGTATTTTACCGTATTCTTAATTAGTATTCTTTAATTAGTATTCTTAATAACCTTAGAGCCTTTATATTCAAACATTTTAATGTAATTCACCAACTTCGAAGTTTCCTTTGGAAACAGTGTCTAATGAATATTGTTCACCAAAAAGCCAAACTGTTCAACTGGATATTTGCTTATCACCTTTCCCTTAAAATGTGGTAAGAAGCTTAAAATACGAAATCACAGGGTCCTTTTTATCATTACGTTTGATTAAAAAGTTGGTACTGTGATTTTTGCCCATTAATGGCACCATTCCTATAGCGGTCTGTAATTCGGAAAGAATGATGCAGCGAATTAATTCACTGGCTGCTCAGTGAGAAATACAAACTTGTCTTGATATTAATACCTGCCATAAAATACCGTGTGTTCATCTGTCAGCTTCTTAAAAATGTCTAAATACACATTTTTGTCGTAATGCCCTAAACTTAAGGGTTTAATAGCAAAATGCAAAAATATATGTTGTACTTATTTTCATCCTGTTACAGTTGCAAAATTTGGGGATAGATGTTTGATAATTGCCTACTGAATCCTTGACAAAACTAATTGTAGGACAGCTTTTTTTTTTTTTTTTTTTTTTTTTTTTTAGCAGTACTTGGCATTTAGCATCCAAATAAAGTAACAAAGTTATCACACTTGAAATAAAGCTTGAATTGCATTTTTAGATTAATTTACAGAATTTTTACTACTGCAAACTTTAGTATTTTGGTCTCAGACATGATAGTATAGAATGTTAATAAGAAATTTTCTTCTATAGAATATCAGTATTATGGAAAGACAGATATTAAAGTGTAACATTGGGAGATATATATGTGTCTGTATACACACACACTTGATTTCAGATTCTTTGTGAATAAGTTTTGTTAATGTAGATTTTGTAGGTTTTTTTTTTTTTTTTTTAAGGCAGTAAGTGGGTGTGTATGTGTTCTGTATCACTTATAATTGGTTCTAGATTCTAATGCCTCTATTGACTTTTCTGTTTTTAAATTCCGCTTGCTGCCTTGGTTGCTGTGATGTCATTTTACCATCCCTAGACTGTTCGCCATGGATTTCCCTATCAACCTTCAGCCTTGGCCTTTGATCCTGTGCAGAAGATCCTGGCAGTCGGAACTCAGACTGGTGCTTTAAGGCTGTATCCTTTCATTTAAGTTTTCTTTTTTTTTTTTTCCACTTTTACTGTATTTTCTCCATTCTTTCTGTGCTGCTGATTAGTTGCTTTTCCTGTTTTAATTCCAAAGAAATGGTGTGATCAGGTATATATATTGTGAAATCATGTGGTGTTGGCTTTTCTCTTGATTATGCGTCTATTCATGCTAAATGTTGCTGGGGTGTTTCTCATCTCTAGGTTTATGGTAGCTAAATATGTATCCACATACAGTTCTAAAGTTTTGCTGTAGTAACTACTGTCTTTGCAAGGAGCTAGAAGTTTCTAAGGGGTAATCTGTCAGCTTATGTATATACTAGGGGTATTTTGAATGGAATGTGGTTTGGAATGAGGTGTAAAAGCAATTGGCATAGGACACACATTAATTGCTTTTTAAAAATATTGTGCATTGGTAGATATTGAATTTATGACCTATCATTCTAATGAATTAGAGGTTGAATTTGATTTGGTTGTTTCTGACTTGCCCACTGACAAAAAACATTAGAAGACAGATCCTGTAAATTAATTTTATATAAATAGTTATGAAGGGTTAATAGTTCTAGAAGTTTTAGAACAATTTTGTTAGTATAATGCAGATGGATAAGTATATTCTCTTGATGTTTTCTCTTTTGTAGCCTACATTTGTTATGTATATGTAAAAACTCTTAAGTTAGCTGTTCTCTGAAGCATTAGTATAAGGAGAATTATTTTTCCTGACTGTGCATGAACTATAATAGTTTTGTCATAGCATAACATAGTTTTTCCAAATACCTGTTTATTTTTCAAGATCAGTTTTTTAGTTTGAACAGTGGAGACTACTTCTCACTTTCATACTATTGAGCTTGAAATAAAATTGTTTGCTTTTATCATGAAATTTAACCATACTTAACTAAAATACCTTTATTTTTAAACTTAAACATAAGACTTAAAAGCAAATGCTTTGTTCATCTTTAGGATATCTGCTTCTACATATTAAAGTAATGTGTTTGTAAATAAAAAAAAAAATCACTAGATGATCAAAATAGAATTACTATTGTCAAAAAAATAAAGAGAAGGAAGGAACTTTATCCCTCACATTTTAGATTTATCTGGCTCCTGAGAAGAGGGGAGGGGAAACCTGCATTTTAGTTAAACACGTACCTTGATTTTCCTTATAATCTTTTAAAATCTTTATTTCAAAAAGTGCTGTATATGGTATCAGGATATGCCTCAAGTTTCACTTACGATTAGTGTGTTATCTTTCAAAATACTTATAAAACTTTTCAGATGGGCCGTTGATATGTATTGAGTGAAGTCTACATTCAGTGTAAACACCAGTAGTGCACACATTCCTTTTAAAATGGTAAAATCTGACCAGGCTAGTTCTGAATCTGTGAATTTCTAAGAGTATGTCTAAAGGGCTCTTGCCCAGATATCTACATATTTGAGACTAGAAGATTTTTGGCTGCAGGTGTTCAGTTGTTTTTATTCCTAAACCCAGTGATCATTACCTTCTAGTTTAGGGTTCCTATTTTAGTCTCATGAAGATGGGACAAAAGTTTAATTTTGTCAGTGTGGGTACTAGGTATTCAACAAAACTCCATGTAGTGACAAGAATAGTGCATTGTTGGATCTAGATGGACTGTTTGGAACTAAAAGCAGATTTTTTTTTTTTTGTTCTGAACAAAAAAAAATATCACTGGATTAAAAGAAAAGAAAAAAAAGAGTTAAATCAATTATTTTTAGATTTTGCTTTTCTTTTAAATGGGTTCAACTTTTACTGTTGTCTCAGTGTACTCTCAATTTTCCAATGGCATATAACTTTTTTCTTTTAACAGCAAGTCTGCCCTTTGTATTTTTAATACGAGTGAGTACCACCAGTAAGTACAATTTTATAAAACCAAATATTTTTCTTAGACCAGACTGTTACCCTTAATGCATTTGAGTAATTAGCAAGTTGACACAAAGGAGTTAAAATATAGGCCTGATTCTAATTGCCAAATAAAAGTAAGGATCGGGTGTCCAAAATTCTCACTTGTACATACCTTGCTTATGTGTAGCTTATATGTTTTAATAGCTAAACACTAAATGACAGTGAACCTGTAATTATAGTTTACAGTTATGCTCTATTTTTTTTTTTTAATTTTAGAATCTCTCTTACTGTATTTAGAATGTAGTCAGGAAAACTGTTTACCAGACATGTTTCTGCTTTTTAATGAGATTTGTGTGAACATTCCAGAGTGATAAATTGGTTTGCCTACCAGTAATACCAGCTAGTCATTTCTTCTGTTAGGTTTAGATATCAGATAACCTAATGAGCTTTATTTATTGCAGCTTTGATTTCTAGAAAATGACTAAGACCTTTTTATTTTTATTTAATTTCCACGTATGTAATTTAAGATCTATGTTTTTCTGTTTTGTTATTTTCAAAGCTAAGTTAAAATTAATAATTTCTAATTTCAAAGCTCTGTATTGGCTTAACATGCAGACTTATTACAGGTCTATTCTGTTGCTCTTGCTCTTTTATATTTTTTGCTATTTCAGTTGGTTTCTTTCAGTCCTTTTCTTTATTTTTCTTTATTTTCTTCTCATATTAGGCTCTTATAGCCTAAAAAAGTGTCTTTGGAGCAGAAATATACTTGTAGATAAGGTGTTTTCTTTCCTTTGATCGTGGAGCAGAAAGTAGATGTTTTCAGAAGTAGGATTGGGCTGTTAGAATTTGCATTACATGTCTAATCTGACTAATAGAATGTCTTCCTGAATGTTAGACTATATTAAATCTACTTTGAGGTATTAAAAAAACTAGATGAGAAAGTTACATCTGATAGCTAATGTTTGCAGACAAGAATTAGTGAAAATCTGATTTTTTAAATAATCTTCTAACCAGTAATGAGGCAAGATAAATTTAATGTTTCCTGCATTAATGTATAGCAAGTGAATGATACTATAAAAATGCTTTATGTTCAATCTTCTTGGCTTCTGGAAAGAATGTGAGGTTGGAATGTATTTACTGATGGGAAGCAAGAAAACAATTTTACATACTAAGTCATATAACAGTGATGTGATTTAATTATCTTAATTCTCTTCTTTTTGTCGTGTAGAAATAGGTGTAATTTGATTCTTATGATTAATCCAGGGTTGAAAATTATTGGGATAAAATATCTAATTATCTGTTTTCATATCAATATCTAGAAA